GGGGCCGCCAAGGCTGGGAACCCGTGCGGCGACAGAGTGCGCTCGGCTCGGGCGGGCGAAGCTGGCGGCCACAGCTCCTCCCCGGCGCCTCCTCCCGCCTCTCCCCGCCCCGCGAAGCCCCCTCCTCGCCGGCCCTACACCTCCCTCTAGCGACTCCAGCCGAGTCCCTCCGGGCTGCTCTCCCGCAGCCGTCTAGGGAGACCGGAGGGAGGGGACGCGCGGAGCAGCGGGGAGCGCACGTTAGAGGACGGGACCGGCATTGTCGCAGTGACCCACGAGGGTCGTGAAGAGGGGGGACGACTCGCAGCTCCCACACACGGGCACATCTCTAGCCCGGCCGGCCGCTCAGCCACCCAGTGCCGGGGAAGCCGAGAGCGAGGGATGCAGACGCAGCATCTGGGCGCGGCTCGCGTTTACTGCTCCCCGACCCGGGTCCCATGCCTCCCCGATCCCCCGCTCGCAGCGACGGCCGGGGGCTGCCAGCCGAGGCCACCTCTGCTGCACCCCGCTGTCCCTCGGCTAGGGGCGAGGATAGCTGGGGCGCCACGTTTCATTTGAGGTTTTACGGTCACCTCTTCGCCCTCCTCTGCCGTGGTTTTCCAGACTAGGGCAGTCCCCCCCCCCCCCATAAGCCTTTGCTTGGCCATAAATCCTAACATAATGAAAGCAAAAAAAGTGCAGCAGCCCTGCCACACCTTCCTTCCCCTCCAGAGTAACTCCCCTGCAACCTCGGCAAGTTCTGATAGTAAGACAGGCCTCTCGCGAGATGTCCCACTCGGGTGGCGAGGGGGTGGGGCCGCAGGAAGGTTGGCTGCGGGTCACGCGACCCGGGTGGGGGGGCTGACGTCATTGGCGTCACGTGAGCATGCCGAGCCCGTTCCGCTGTGCCCAGGGAGAAGGGGGAATAAAAAAAAAAAAAAGGAGAGGGAGATCGTGAGTTCTCCTCGGCTTCACGTTCTCAGAGAGCAGGCCAGGTAGGGGCCCAGGAATGCGCTCCCATCCGTGGCTGTCCGGAAAACCGCTGTAAAGTTCGAGAATGTGCCTGCTCGCTCGAGCAGTCCTGCCACGGTTGCTTAAAAATTAGCAGGGAGGAAAAAAAAAAAAAATTAGCATGTAAGATAGGTAAGTTGTCACTGGTTGCTAAGATAATTTCCTTTCCGGGCCTTCTCTCCAGTTCTGGGTCTTTAATAAACGTGGCACTTGCAGGTTTAGAGGCCGACGGAAGACAGAAGCATCGTGAACGGATTTTTTTTTTGCTGCTTTTTGTTCTACGGGATACCGTAAAATCCTAATTTGCTCGTGCTGAGAATTACATCATGCACTTAAAATTTCACAACAGAAAGATGGTAACTTTCGGTTATGGAGACTGCTTAGGCTTTGTCGCCTGTTCTGAGAGGCTCCTTGCTCACTGTCACACGTGTTCCTCCTGATTCTTTTCTTTCCTGTTTTAAAGAATGCTATTCCACCTATGAGTGGCCCTTGAACTCAAGTACTCAAGCTAGTCATAAAAATTTTAAATGCTTTTCTGCTATAGGTTTTGCAAATATTGCTCATACTTCTAATAGACCTCTCCCACTCAATGCCACCAGGAAATATTTCTTTCATATTTAGTCGTCATTCAATGTCTGCATTGTTCTGCCCACAAAAATGTCATTTACTGGCCTGTTTCACTACAATTTCCCCCTCAGTTTTACTTATGTCTTTTGCTATTCTTCCCATGCATTAGATTCCTACTGTGGATTTTTGACATTGCCAAGCACATGGGACCAGCACATGTCCCATGTTTTCTTGTCTATTTCCTACCTGGAGACCTCTACTGTTCTGTTGTCGTTATGGGGCACCCTTGGAGGCTGGGTTTTATGTAGCTTTGATTCCTTTTTTGTTTTGTTTTGTTCTAAACAAATCTCGTCTTTTATGTCTTTAACTTTGAACACTTATTTGTTTGGGACAGGGTCTCTCACTATGTCTCCTCAGATGGCCTGGAACTCACTATGTAGACCAGGCTGGACTTAGAACTCAGGGGTCCCCCTGCTGCTGCCTCCCCAGTCTGGATAAATTTGAACATTTTAAATAAGAATAAAATGTGTTTGGGTCTTAAATTCTGGCCATAAAAGTCAAGGATCACCTATGGCAATATAGAAAAAAGATGATACAATAAATTAAATGAATAAAAAATAAAGGAAAAATAGTGTTTAAGTATTAATAATTGAGTTAAAAATTGAAAGGGAAAAATAATTTGGTCTTGGCTAAACACTTTGAATATATAACTTAAATATACGGCTCTAGGTTATAATGAAATAATCTAACATTCTCAGCTTCTTTTCATGACTCTTTCAGTCTTGTTCTTCATCTGCTGTTGAGGCTGCACCTCCACCAATGGCCTCTCCTGGTCTCCCACAGTGCCGAGCCTTAGCTGCTCTCCATGATGCTTCTACGACCTGGGTGATGCTTACTCTTACCAAGTGCTGCTGCCAACATGAGCTACAATGGAGGCCTCTGGAAACAGCTTCTCTGTGCTCTCAGGAAACACTTCCTAGAAGATTTCAGCTCAGTGATGCTAGTCTCTTCTTAATCTCTGGTAATTTCTTAGCTCCAGCTAACCAGCATCAAATATCCCAGTAATGTACAGGTTGCACTTTAGAAGTTCTGGTATCCTGTTAATCACTGCTAATTCTTCAGCCCCACCTAACCAGAACCTTAATTCAAAATAACAAATGGCTTTGATAGAGTCTTTAAACTTCCCTCTGAAACTTCACAAGCCCAGCCTCCATCCTTTTCACTGCTCTCAACATTCTTGTCTTCCAAGTTCCCACAGAACATCCCGCAGAGCTCTTAACACTCAATGGTTCTTCTAGCCCAAAGTTCCAAAGTCCTTCCAAAATCCTCCCCAAAATGCAGTCACATCTGTCACAGCAATACCCCACAGCACTGGCATTAAAATGGTAAGACATATTTAATTCAAACTGGACCATGGTGTAACCTAATCTCTCAACTCTGATTCTAAAGAGAACAAGCAGAAATGTACAGCCAAGGAACCTGGTGGAGACCAGTAAATGTAAATACTGAGCATTTTCTTCCTCTCCTCTCATTTTGCTACTCAGAATTAAACACTGCAAGACTTCAGTACTTAGAATGGACAAGTGTTGAATGAACTTAGTATGCTAAGGCTTGGCATTCATTAATTATTCTTCATACAAACCTTCTAAGAAGCACAGCTCTTACCTCAAAGAGTTTATGCTAGAACCAAATATGGGTGACCATTGCCCAGGAACACTGGTTACCCAAATTCCATATTCCAATCTAGTTAGAAGTTTAGTTAAGTTTTATGGTAACAGAACAAATAAATGATAAGTCAAGACACTTTCCAAGAATATTGACAGAAACATCAAGTAGGTAGACAATAGAAACGCTGCAGATCTCTGTTCTAGGCCTCAGACACTGCCTGGTGTCGTTCTCAGGCTTTTGATGGACAAAAACTAAGGTTCTGTTTGTACATCCCCAAAGACCTATCCAGTAGTCACAAAGATAATAGGTCACATCAGAGGTGGGTGATAAATGGCTACTGAGGGCCAAGATAGCCCAAGATGATGTGTAATTCGGGCCTGGACCTTCACCAATCCAACCTCTCCACAATCACTGAAGGTCTAATCAGATACTAGCTGGGCAAACAGGGGTGAGACAACATGCTGGGTTTGTCTTTCTCAGCCTGGGTCACCTCAATATATTTTACTAGTTTAGAGTTCCATCCATTTTCCTGAGAATTTGGGGTGTTGTTTTTTAAATATTTTTATGCTTTGGGAATTTTACACATTGTATTTTGATCATATTCACCCCCTCCAACCACTCCCTTCCATCATTCCATACCCCCTAGCTTTGTGTCCTCATTTTTTAAAGACCTATTAAGTTCAATTAGTGCTATTTACTTTGGGGTGTGTGGCCATCCACTGGAGTGTTGTAGATCTCCAGGGAACATACCGTTAAAGAAAATGACCCCCCCCCCTCACAGAAGCTATCAAGTAGCAATATCTCCTCACCTAGGGGTGAGACTTCATGACTACCTCTCCCCTCCATGCTAGGATTTTTTTCTGACGTGAGCTTGTACAGGTGTAGCGCATACTGTCGCAATCGTAGTAAGTTCATATGGGCAACTTCCCTGCTGTATCCAGAAAATAGTATCCTTTATCTACTGCTTCTCACTCTTATAGTCTTTCTGCCCCCTCTTCTTCCATGATACTTAGCCCTTGGGAGGAGCAGGGGTGATGTAGGTGTCCCATTTATGGCTGAGCACTCCATGTTCACTTATTCTCTGCACCTTGATCAGTTTTGAGTCTTGGTGTTAATTGCCATCTACTGTAAAAAAAAATTTCTCTGGTGAGTTGAGAGATGCAGTAACTTGTAGGTATTACAATAATAAGTCATTAGGATTCACTGTAATACTGTGTCCCTTCTTCAGAGAAACGGCAGTGGATTCTCCACTAGGGCCTGTGATTGTCTAGTCATAGATGCTTGGCCCCAGTAATAGTGCCAGGTATAGGCTCCATATTGTGAACAGGGCCATAAGCCCAATCAGACAGCGGTTGGCTGCTGTGTTGGTTGTTTTTTGTCAACTTGACACAAACTAGAATCACTTGAAAGAGGGAACCTCAAGTGAGGAAATACATCCATTAGGTTGGCCCACAGGTATATCTGTTGACCATCTTCTTTTTTTATTTTTATTTTTTTATAAATACGTTTTTTATTAAGAGATTTTTCTATTCATTTTACATACCAACCACAGATTGCCCTGTCCTCCTTCCTCCCTTCACCCACCAAGCCACCCCCCCATTCCCACCTCCTCAAAGGCAAGGTCTCCCATGGGGAGTGAGCAGAGCCTGGTACATTCAATTGAGGCAGGTCCAAGCCCTTCCTTCCTGCACCAAGGCTGCACAAAGTTTGACCATCTTCTTGATTAACAATTGGTGTTGAGAGTCCAACCTACTGTGGGTGGTGCCACCCCACCCCTGGACACCTGGGTTGCATAAGAAAGCAAGCTGAGCAATCCATATAAGCAACATTCTTTCATGGTCTCTGCTTCAGTTCCTACCTACCTGTTCCTGCTTTGACGTCCTCAGTGGTGGACTGTGATATGGAAACATAAACCTATTCTCTCAAGTATCCTCTGTGTAGCCGGCTGAGTGGTTATGAATTCCTTAAGCCTATCTTTATCCTGGAATTCTTTCCTCTTTCCTTCACTTAGGACAGATACCTTTACTGGGAACAGTGATCTCTGTTTGCAGTTGTTGTCTCTCAAACTTGAAAATCATCATCCCAAGACCTCTTGGCTTCTAGTTTCTTTTGAGAAATCTGCTAGTATTCTGATGGACCTGCCTTAATGCATAATGATGCTTCTCTCTGTTCTTTGTCCATTTAGCAGTTTAATTATGATATGACAAGGGTCCGTTTCTGTTCTTTTCTAATGTAGTTTGATTGATATTTCTTCCATAATTTAGAGACACATTCTTCATATGATTTCATTGAAGATCTTAGCATTTAGAATTGAATTCTTTCTCTTATTTTTATGCTTAGATCTGTACATTTTTGAGGTGGATCCTGCAGGTTTTCTTGGCAGGGAAGTGAACCACAAGAGGAAAGAATGAAAACTCAGTTCACACTGACTTCAGCAACCTGGATCAAGATTTCAAGGAGTCTGAACTCAGGTGGTTTATTCTCAACAGATTCAAACACAGTATAACTTGGAAGAAAATTTTCAGTTGTAATATAATTACATCGAAAACTGACACAGGATAAATGTCATTTCTTCCAAGAAGATGGGTTTTAGAGATAGGCTACCAGTACTGGCTTACAGGCCTAGGAAGGAACTGATCTAGGTCATGTAGATAGCATAGAGTTCATCTGGGCTATTAGCCACCTCTGGTTTTGGGAGCTTGGAAGAGCCTTTGCTATGAGGGTCATTTATGCTATTAGATATCTCTAGTCCTGATTGTCAGAGCTTGGCGAGCCCCTGGCTGTAAGGGTCATTTAGATTACTAGCTAACTCCGATCCTGGTTGTAGGAGATTGATACAGCCTGGCCCAACAAATAACACAAATCACCAGGCTACTAATCACTTCCAATTCCTAGCTTTCTAGATGAAAGAACAGTGTTTTTATATATTTCCTACTGGAAAGACAATCCTGTATGCTTAACATTCCTGTTTCTCTGGAGATCTGTGGAAACAAGGACCTCGTTCTGTGCTCCAAACACTTTATAGTACCCTAAATACCATGAAAGTACTGCTTATTCTTTATCTGGTCATCATATTGTCAGAATGTTTCAACTCTTCCACCTTGTGTTGAAGCTTGGATCCTCTGTCCACACCTTGATCCATTATGCTGATGAGGTCTTCCATGGAATTTTTGGTTGACCTAACACATTCATTTCTAGTCTTTCACTTTGATTATTCCTCCCATTCCCCCTCCTCTCCCCCAAATGTATATATATGGGTATTTTCCCTGAATGTATGTTGTCTATGCATGACATGTGTGCAGTGCCCATGGAGGCCAGAAGAGGTTATGTCTCCTAGAACTGGAGTTACAGATGTCTGTGAGTTTGTGTGTGTGTGTGTGTGTGTGTGTGTGTGTGTGTGTGTGTGTGTATTTGTGTAAGTGTGTAACTGGACTAAGATCTTCGGGAAGAGCAGCCAGTGCCCTTAACTGCTGAGCCATCTCTGCAGCTCCCAGTTTTTCTCTTTATAGAATTCCTCTTCCCTGTTTTGTACCAACTCCCTTATTTCACCTAGCTGTTTGTGTTCTCTTCAGATTCACTCAGGAGTTTATTTTCTTTCTTGATTTCTTTGAACAAACTCACACTCTCTCCTTGGAATTCATTTAATAGAATTTCACTGGAGGCCATTACTTTGGAATTAGTACTTTTTGAGGAGTTATGTTGCCTTGGCTTTTCATGTTACTTTGGTTTTCCATTGGTCCTCAGTACTTGGAGCTAGATTGTTGCTTGCACTCACTTAAGTGTTTAATCTCTATTTACTTTTATCACTTTTCACTATTCAAGAGGGACTAGGTTGTTATAAGTCAGTGTTTCTCAGACTTCCTAATGTTGTGACCTTTAATACAGTTCCTCGTGCTGTGGTGACCCCCCCAACCATAACATTATTTTCATTGCTACTTCATAACTGTAATTTTGCTGCTATTATGAATAGTAACTTAAGTATCTGATATGCCGGATATCTGATATGAGACCCCTGTGAAAGGGTCATTCGACCCCCCAAAGGGTCATGACCCACAACTTGAGAACAACTTTTAAAAGTTTTCTGTGTTGTTCCCCTCTGCTAGGCTAGATTTTGCCATCCTGGAATCCAATTGTTTCCTTTGTCACTAACACCAGGCTGGGCTCACAAGGGCAGTTAAAGTTAAATGTTAAAGGAGAACATTTAACTTAATGACACTCGCCACAGCACAGGAAGACAGACATTACCACAATGAATTACTGCAGTGGGGGAGAGTGGCCCATTCCCAATTGAAAAACAAAAAAGCAGAAACTTGTATCTGGCGGAGAGTATGAGAGGAAATGGCTAGGAAGAAA